TTAAAAATGGTTACAGTGTTAAAATTTGTTACATGTATTCCACTACAATTTTTTAAATGGAAAAAAAGGGAGATGAAGGATTAAGACAGACACAAAGGGAGGGAAGATGGCAATCTACAAGCTAAGAAGAGAGGTCTCAAAAGAAACCACCCCTGCCCACACCTTGATTTTGGAATTCCAGCCTCCAGCATTCTGGGAAAAGCAATTTCTGTTGTTTAAGTCGCCCAGTCTGTGGTACCTTGCTATGAAATCCCCTAGAAAACTAATACACTCATCTATGAGCCTTGCTGGGAGACAGAGCTCAACTCCCATTGTAGAAGCAAAAAAATGCCAACTTCTGATCTGGGATTGGTCAAACAAATGCATCTCCTTGAACTTTAAATGGGAGGCTGGTGACATAGAGAAGCAGAGACTCCAGTTTGGTGGATGTCACAGGAACACCAGATTTCTGGGAGCTGCACAACATATAGCTGCTGTGGTCCCCTTTCTGCAGCAAACACAGGTGTGTCAATACACCTGGCCATCCTTTGGAGGTCCCTTCAGAGTGCGGATGGTATAGTGCCTCACTGTGGTCAAATGAGCTGGCATCCCCATTGTACAGAAGGTGCAAGCAGTAGGCCTGAGACATCTGTCCTTAGAAAGGGCTGCCTGCAAGATTGTCCCTGGGCTGGCACCTGGAAACTTGGATTTGGGAAGTGTTCCCCCTATTTGCTAACTGTTAAAATGGGCTAATCAGTTTGTCAATTAGATAATGTTAAAATGTTTGTACAGCCAGTGTGGTGGCTCACATCTGTAATCCCAGCACTTTGGGAGGCCAAGGAGGGTAGACCACGAGGTCAGGAGTTCAAGATCAGCCTGACCAACATGGTGAAACCCCGTCTCTACTAAAAATACAAAAATTAGCCGGGCATGGTGGTGGGTGCCTGTAATCCCTGCTACTTGGGAGGCTGAGACAGGAGAATCCCTTGAAACCGGAAGGCGGAGGCTGCAGTGACCCGAGATACCACCACTGCACTCCAGCCTGGGCAACAAGAGCGAAACTCTGTCTCAATCATTCTCAGCAAACTGACAGAAGAGCAGAAGATCAAACACCGCATGTTCTCACTCATAGGCAGGTGTTGAACAATGAGAACACATGGACACAGGGAGGGGAGCACTACACACTGGGGTCAGTTGGGGGGAAATAGGGGAGGGATGGTGCGGGGTGGGGAGTTGGGGAGAGAAAGCAAGGGGAGAGATGCCAGAAGTAGGTGATGGGGAGGAAGGCAGCAAATCACACTGCCACATGTGTACCTATGCAACAACTTTGCATGTTCTTCACATGTACCCCAAAACCTAAAATGCAATAAAATAAATGGGGGAAAAAAAGAAAGAAAAAAATATTTTTAATTTTAATTTTTATTTTACGTAAAAGTAATTTATAAAAAAGTTTGTACAATGTGGTTTGTGCTAGACACCTGCTTTCCTTCTGAGGCTCTGGAAAATTGATACATACTAGGCAAAGAGTGCCTATGAAATTGACCTTTAATAAAAACCCTGGACTCCTAGGCACAGACAAGCTTCCCCAGTTTACAACATTCACACCTGCTCTGTCAGTCTGATGCTGGAGGAATTAAGTGTAGCCTATGGACTCCACTGGGAAAGGATGCTTAGAAGCTTGCACCTGGTTTCTCCAGGTTTTGTCCAATGCATTTTTTCAATTTACTATTTCTCTTTGTATCAGTTTGCTGTAATAAATCCCAGCCATGGGTATGACTGTATGCCGAGCCCTATGAGTCCTTCTAGCAATTCACCAAAGATGAAAGTAATCTCAGAAACGCCTGTAAGGACATACTGTGAATTCAAAATATCTGAGACTGATCTCAATCAATATAGAAAGCTTATTTTGCCAAAGTTAAGGGTGTGTCCACAACAACCTCAGGAAGTTCTGACAACATGTGCCCAAGGTAGTCAGGATACATACAGCTGGCTTTTATACATTTTAGGGAAATATAAGACATCAATCAATATGTGTAAGATGTACATTGGTTTGGTCCAGAAAGGCAGGACAACTGGAACTGGGAGGGCTTCCAAGTCATAGGGAGATAAGAGACAAAAGGTTGCCTTCTTTCAAGTCCTTGACCAATCTTTCATTGGATACACAGTTTAGTCTGTCTCAGTGAATCTGCATTTTACATAAACAGAGGAAGCAATCAGATATGCATTTGTCTCAGGTTAGCAGAGAGATTTCTGTCCCACACCTGTGAAGATAAGCTATCAGTTTACATTTGCCAGGGTGAAATTCAACAGAACTGTTTAGGGTATGGATCTTGAAGGCCACAAGGAATTTCCTTGTGGGCAAATTATGTAGAAGGTATGTAGCTTTTTTTTTTTTTTTTTTGGAGATGGAGTATCGCTCTGTCACCCAGACTGGAGTGCGGTGGTGCGATCTCGGCTCACTGCAAGCTCCGCCCTTCAGGTTCAAGCGATTCTCCTGCCTCAGCCTCCCAAGTATCTGGGACTACAGGTGCCCACCACCACACCCAGCTAACTTTTGCATTTTTAGTAGAGATGGGGGTTCCACCATATTGGCCAAGCTGGTCTCAAACTCCGGACCTCGTGATCCACCCACCTCAGCCTCCCAAAGTGTTGGGATTACAGGTGCGAGCCACCATGCCTGGCCAGTATGTAGCTTTTTTATCTTTATAGCCATTTCATTTAGGAATAAATAGGAGGCAGGTTTGCCTAACATTGAACTCAGCTTGACTATTCCCCTGCTTAGTGATTTAGGGTCCCAAGATTTATTTCCTTTCACAATACCTACTTACCCATCCTGTTGAAGAGGGCTACTTTACCCTCCACTCATTTAGAGCATGTTCTCCTTGAATGATGGACTCAGATGTTTGTCCCAGCACCAGTTCTGGTGACCAGCATTAGACTACCCAGGGAGCTTGTTATTCATACAGGATCCTGGGGCTCACCCATTCCCTGATTCAGCAGGTCTAGAACTAGCCCAGGAAATCAGGTGGCTGGCTAGTCCCCCAGGGGGTTCTGATGCTTATTCAGGCTAGGGAACCCCTGGCTTAAAAGGAAACCTCCCCAGCCCAGAATCTGGACACCTGAGGTTTAGCCCCACCTTGCACAATGACCTGAAGGGGCTCTTTCGGGCATACCTTCTCCTCAGGGTCCATTTCTCTCCACCCCCAGTTGAGGGGCTTGGCCCCAGCTCTGGATTCTTAGTGTTTTGAGGGTCACAAATCCCTTTGTGAATCTGATGAAAGCAATGAACACACTTTCTAGGGAACATGAAAACACACACACACACACACACACACACACACACACACACACACACGGAAGCACAATTTTACCCATAATTTAGGAGCCTATAGACCGCATGTGAAGATCCCTGACCTGAATCCCACCTAAGCCTCCCAACTCTCACATTCTATGATTCTATCAACAATCAACCAAACAAGGAAGCATCGTCTGTCACCTCAGACCCTTAAACTCAGGAATCAATGTTTTGGCACAGCCCCTAATGTCTGTAAAATTGCAAATACCAAGACTAATTTTCTCTCTGGAGTGGTGCAGTTAAAGAGTTATATCAAGTGTGGTTATTAAATTTCCATATTTAGATGTGCAAAGCCAGGCTCCTCCAGGAGTCCTTAGAAGCCATTCACTTCCCAATAATCAGATTCACAGCTGCTGCAGCGGATTCTCGACATTTTTTCTCAGGTGAAGTGGAGGCTGAGGTCCTGCTCCAGGCTCACCTTAGTCACCCACAGGGCTTGGCCACCCATGAGTGCAGGCAGAAAGTAGAGAGAGAGATGCAAGCCAGAAGACATGTCATCTCCTCTGAGAAGCCCTCCCTGACCCCCAGGAGCAGTTAATCATTGCTTTCTTGTGTTTCAACAGTACATTATGTGAGCTACTGTTACAGGCTTTGAAATGATTTGCCTGGTATTATAGTTCATTGTGTACTTATGTGCCTCCTCCAAAGTGTAAGCAATTTAGGATCCAAATTTATTCTGCATTCAGGTCAGATGCCCAGGAAGCACATGCCCTGCCCCAGGCTGTTGCCTGCCACTTCTCTAATATCCTGTACTTCTTGAGAAACTGCTTCCCTCCACTCCTGGGAGGAGCTCATGACCATGCCCATGCCCTGGACAGTCGCAGGGTTCCAATCCTTGGCCACAGTGATTGGTTCAGGGATAGGTACATGACCTGTCAGGCCAATGAAATTTGACCCTGGGATGTTTGCTAAAACTGTCAGAGAAGGGACATCATCTTTCCACTGGGGCTCCAAAGCTGATTGGATGGAAGACTGGATCTGCACTGGGGCTCCAAAGCCGATTGGATGGAAGCCCAGATCTGCACTGGGGATCCAAAGGTGATTGGATAGAAGCCTAGATCCGCACTGAGGTTCCATAGCTGATTGGATGGAAGCCTGGGTCTATACTAGGGCCTCAAACCTGATTGGATGGAAGCCTGGATCTGCAGATGCCATCCTTGCTGAGAGTGGAGAATATGAGCCTCAGGCAGAAGCCAGCTCAGAGAATGGCAGTGCTGACAGATGGAGAGAGGGACAAAGTCCTAATAATGGGCTTGTTTGAGGTTCTGGATCCTGTCAGACTGAAGCCAGTGCCATCCTTGAGCTTCCCAGTTTCATCAGCCAATTAATTCCTTTTTTGTGGGAGCCAGTCTGAGATGGGTTTCTGTCCTGGTAACCCAGAGTCCTGGTTAAGGACCCCAGGGTCCTAACTTGACTCTGCGGGACTAAGTAGCTTGGTAAAGGGCATGCACTGGGGCATGGGGCAGTGGTGACTTCTCTGAGGGCATGGAGCATCTTAGGGAAGGGCTGAGACCAGAACTCAGGTTACTTGAATTTCAGTCTGTTCTCCATATGACAAACTACCTCTCTTCCTCTGCCTGGGGGTCCAGCATTGGACCAAACCAAATGGCCAAACCCAAAGCTGCCCTAAAGCCACCATAGAGTAAGATGCTCCCTCAGCACCCACCCTATAAGGCCCGATGGGGGTCCAGGCCACAGAGAAGCAAAGGTCAAAACAAGCCATCCCTATAGCACTCAGGGTGGAGGCTGCTTCCAGCCTGAAGATGGGTTTCCATCCAGAACGGAATCTGGAGTCTGCAGGGAGTTAAGGGAAAAGTCAAATGTAAGAGCCTGGAAGTGACATCTCCACTTTGTCAGTACTCAGGTGCTGGTGCTGCTGGAACCAGCCTCAAGGATGCCAGCTGAGTCACACTTATAACACACTTTCCATCCTTGGATCCTCTCACTTGCCCAGGAAGGGGTGGTTTGCCTCAGGAAAAACAGAGTACCCTCTGCCCACAACGATGACTGCCAATCTGGGGTCCATGCCCTATGCCTATGATGTGAGTGTGGTTGAGAAATCCCGAGCATAATCATTCTTCTTTTTGGCTTTTCGCTATTGTTGCTTTGTAGTTTTATCTGATTGTGGTTTAAGACTGCAGTCTGTATGTATATGGTAGTCCTTTGGTATTTATTGAGACTTGCTTTGAGCTAGTAAACAATAAATTTTTTTAAATTTCCAGATATACTGAAAATATATATATGTAAATGATAAATACAGGGCTAGGGTTCGCTATGTATGTATCCTACTGAGGTTGATAAAGATGGTTTTTAAAAATTCTATATCTGTGCTCATTTGTTTCCCTACTACAGCTCTCGTTTTCCAAAAGACCACGTTAAAATCTCCCACTAAGACTGCAAATCTTTCCATTTCTTCTTCTAATTGTCTATTTCCTATAAATATTTGAAACAAATGAGGGGAGAGATCCAAGTCCAGGTGTATCTTCCTGGTGAACTGTTCATTTACATGATGTAAGGACTCTTTCTCATGAATTGTGTCTGATAATATTGCTACATTGGCTTTCTTTTGGTCAGAAGTTGTTGGGTATACTTTTTCCATTTCTTTCAACCTTTCAGTTCCCTTGTCTTCCAGATGCCCCACTGTTAATAGCACAAAGCCGGATTGGAGTTGGTGGCGAGGGTGGTGTTTTTAGTGTTGGTAGGCGTGGTGTTTTGGGGGTTTTGTTGGTTTTTTTGAGACGGGGTCTCACTGTCAGGGAGTGAGCATGATCACAACTCACTGCAGCCTGGATCTCCTGAGCTCAGGGCATTCTCCTGCGCTCAGGGCATTCTCCTGCCTTAGCCTCCCAAGTAACTGAGACCACAGGTGTGCACTGATAGTGGTTTTAATCCAGTCTGAGAATTTTTGTTTTTTAAATAGTAAACACAATCCATTTACATGTACTGTGATAACTGAAGAATTCAGATTTCCTTCCAGTATCCTATTTTGTGTCTTCTTTTTACTTTGCTTTATTTTATTTTATTTTGCTTCTTTTTTCTCCTTTTCAGATTTCTATTGGGTTAATCAGGGTTTGTTTTTTGTGTTTGTTCTTTTTCCAACAATAGCTCTTTGTCCTGAATTCAGCATTTTTAAAAGACTCTTTTCCTACTGACTTCAAATACCTTTTTTTGAGATGGAGCTTTGCTCTTGTTGCCCCAGCTGGAGTGCAATGGTGCGATCTCAGCTCACTGCAACCTCTACCTCCTGGGTTCAAGCGATTCTCCTGAGGAGCTGGGATTATAGGCATGCACCACCATGCCTGGCTAATTTTCTGTATTTTTAGTAGAAATGGAGTTTTACCATGTTAGCCAGGCTGGTCTCGAACTTCTGACCTCAGGTGATCTGACTGCCTTGGCCTACCAAAGTGCTGGGATTACAGGTGTGAGCAACGGCACCTGGCCAATTTTTTTACTTCAAATACTTACATTTGTGAGTGCTAGAGTCTCTTGGACTTTGTTTGAACACGTCTTTTTTTTACCCTCACTTGTAGACGGCTACAGAATTTCTGATTAACAATTTTTTGCAGTGGCATCTTTATTATCTAGTTTCATTGTCTTCTGGTGTCTATTGTTACTAAGCCTGCTGTCAGCCAGATCATTGTGATTTTGTAGGTAATTTATTTGTGCCTGTTTGCTTTTAAGATTTGTCATTGTTCTTGGTTTTCTGCAATTCTACTCCATGTATATACGTATAGATTTACTTTCAGAGGTAAAACACTCCCCTTTCTCCACTTTCAGTATGAAAATTCATATGTTTCATCAATTCTAGAAAACTCTCAGCCATGATCTCTTTAAATATTATTTCTCTGCAAGGTGTTGATTAGAAGTCAATGCCTACACACACACACACACACACACACACACACACACACACGTGAAATTTCTCTGCCTGGCACAGTGGTTCACACCTATAATCCCAGCACTTTGGGAGGCTAAAGTGGGCAGATCACTTGATGTTAGGAGTTCAAGACCAGCCTGGCCAACACGGTGAAACTGCGTCTCTACTAAAAATACAAAAATTAGCCAGGTGTGGTGGCTCATGCCTGCAATCCCAGCTACTTGGGTAGCTTAGCCAGGAGAATCAGTTGAACCTGGGAGGCAGAGGTTGCAGTGAGCTGAGATCACACCACTGTACTCCAGCCTAGGCAACAGAACAAGACTCTGTCTCAAAAATAAAATAAAAATAAATAAAATATTACTTCTTCCTGAGTCACTCCATGCTATGCTTCCAGGAATACCTACTAGATGCATGTTGGACTTTCTCATTGTATCTTCCATATCTGTTAACTTCTCTTTTATATTATCCTCTTTATGTGTTGCATTTGACAGACTCTCATCACTAATTTCCTCTTTGTGTCTAACCTGCTATTTAGCCTATCTACTGAGTGTCTTCATTTCCTTGTTTGTTTGAAGCCACCTCTTACAGAAGGGTGAATATCTTCATTTCAATGACTGTTTTTTTCTATAAATTAAATTTGGTTCCTTTACAAATCTGTTTTTTCTTTTATTATGGTACCCTGTTCTTTCTCTATTGTTTCATTTTTTTTCTCTCTCTCTTTAGTAAATTCAAATGGCCCAGGTTCTCAGAATCCTCATCCTGCATCTGATCTCTTCCTCATGGTGATTCTTCGTGTCCCTTGTGACTCTGGACTCTGAGCTCATCTTCAGCAGTCTAGTCCCTGGGCCCTGAATTGTGAAAGAGTTGCTGTTGACAGTCTTACATATGCTTCTGCAAAGGGCGCCAGAGGGCCCATATTTTACATTAACATCTCAGCGTGGGAAGTCCTCTATCACAGACCTTAACTCACTCTATATTGAAAGGTGTTATAAACAGAAGCCTTCCAGTTCTTATTGACTTGGTTCTTGGATCTTAAATCATAGACCCAAATGTGTCTATATCAAATGAGGTTGAGGAAATAAAACTTCCTTTGCATACCATAGAGGACTATATCCAAAGGCTCAGGATATTGGAATACTGGAGTGAGTTTACAGTGTGAGACTTCTCACCTGCCCTCTAACTATGTCCCCTGGAAGCATCCAGAGGATACTTTTATAAAAATAAATAAAACATTACTTTGAGAAATACTTTGGTGGGGTTACACCATACCCTTGAAGATCTCCAAGCGGTTATTTTCAGTAGACCAGGAATGATAATAATGTCAAACTGGGCTCCCTGAATTCAACTGGAAAAATGAAATCCAGGGAAGCAGAAGCCCAGGGATGGCACAGGACCCCAAGAGGCCAGGCTGGCATGGTGTCCACGATGAGCAACAGAACCAAAGTGTTAACGGTTTGACAAGACTACATCATATCATAGGCTGAAAGATTGTGGTCTCCCTAGAACTGAAAGAAATGTCCAACCTACTACTCACCAGGTTTATAGAAACACAAAAGCTCCAGATCAGAAGTTTGACTTGACTTAGCACAATAGTCAAAGTCAATGAGTCCATGTAGACATAGACCCTACATCTTGATGAAGGAGTCTCGATATCACATCATAACTAGATCATGTGAAATGGATTACATTTAATGCAGTCATGTTTGGATAATACAATCTACCGTGTCATTTAAGAACTCAGCTACACTGCCAATGTACCTTTCCCAACGTGACCTGCAGCCATCGGCCAGGTTACTGTGCATAGAAGAAGAGGAAATCACTAGACGTTTTAGAAATTATTAAACACTGGTTCTGAACCGACATCAACACTTCCCAGACTTGAGCCAGTCCAGAGGCCCAAAGCCCCTATAAATAATGCAGTGTCACAAACTACATCAGAATTCAGTGGCTTAAAACAACACCATATTTTTAACAGCACCTTGGAAAAAAAGAAAACACCGTCTTTTCTGCTTATAAATCAGTATTTGGGGCAGGGCATCAAGGGAACAACTCATCTCCGTGCTACTTGGCCTCAGCTGGAACAACTCAGGCTGGGGTTATCTGAAACCTCATCCGGATATCTGGTGGTTGAAGCTTAAAGGACTCAAAGAGCTGGGCACTAGGATAGCTGGGACCCATCCACTACCTCACTTGAGGTCTGTCCACGATGGCAGACTCAGCATAGCCAGACTTCTTATATGTTGGTTCAGGATTCCCACGGCACAATAGGGAAAAGGAAGAAAGAGAGAGAGAGAGAGACAAAGAGAGAGAACATACCAGATGAAAACTAAATCCAGGCTGAGCGCAGTGGCTCATGCCTATAATCCTAACACTTTGGGAGGTCGAGGTAGGCGGACCACCTGAGGTCAGGAGTTCAGGACCAGCCTGGCCAACATGGTGAAACCCCATCTCTACTAAAAATGCAAAAATTAGCTGGGCATGGTGGCAGGAGCCTATAATCCCGGCTCCTCGGGAGGCTGAGGCAGGAGAATGGCTTGAACCTGGGAGGCGGAGGTTGCAGAGAGCCAAGATCGTGCCCTTGTACTCCAGCCTTGGGGACAAGAGCGAGACTTTGTCTCAAAAAAAAAAAAAAAGAAAGAAAATCACCTTTTAGTACCTAGTTTCAGATACCAAGCAGCATTACTTCTTCTATGTTCTGTTTTTTAGAACTGACAGCTCATATTTCAATAAAGAAACATAGACCCTACAATGGAGGAGTCTCAGTGGAGAAGTCTCAACATCACATCATAACTAGAGCATGTAAGATGGGCTACATTTAATGCGGCCATGTTTGGATAATATAATCTACCCTGTCCACTTGAGAAAGAACTCAGCCACATTCCAAATAAACTTCTCAACGTGATCTGCAAGCACGGGCCAGGTTACTGCATTGAAGAAGAGGAAATAACTAGACTTTGGAAGGATTACTAAACCCTGGCTCTGAACCAACACCAAGCAAAGTGGCCATGGCATCATGGATAGAGGCTCTACATGGGCTCAGCAACATGGCTTTTTTTT